TGCTGCTCTCCAAAGAACACGAGAGCAGACACTCTGACAGAACGTTTAAGGACCCCCTCCCCCCACCAGTCTGTTCTCAGCAGCCCTTTCAGTGCTGTTGCCCACTATTGCTCCGCACACGCCCCATGTTCCACACACATTCAATCTGGTCTTCAGACGTCAGCAGGGCTTCTGCTCTGCGCCTTGTGCTCATGTCTCCCTGCCCACCTGCAACGCTGTCTAGCTCACAAGCTCTCTCTTCCGCAGCAGGAAGCGCTCCCTGACCTCCCAGAGAGGTCACTCTTCCTTCTCAGCGTGCTCAGCCTGTGCACCTTACGCCGCACAAATCCTCTATTTCTGTCCTAGAGGTCAGCATGCATTTACTCCGCGCTTGGAGCAGAAGTTCCGTAGTCAGGATGACTGAGTCTGAACTTCACCTCTGCCACTTCTCAACTCTAAAACTTGGGCCAAGTTACTTAAATGTCTCCCATTTTTATTTTGTGAATTCAAAAATGGAAATAAAGTACAGCTCCTCAGGGCTCCTTTGACAAACAAAATAGTGCATTTCATTCTAATATATTAATATAAACATCAACACATGTTTTATCTTCTCTATTGAACCATAGGCTCCCTGAAGAGAGGATCAGTGTCTGTTTATATTTGTAACCACAGTGCTAATATCTGCTTAGTTCCTTAAACACATCAGCTCTCAGTAACTGTTGTGTTCTGTGAATAAGTGACTCTTATGCAAACCAGTCTGATCAACCCAACCTCAAGAGTCTACCAAGTCCCTGCAATGTATCAGGCCAGGCGCTAGGGCCTGGGGAGATAGCTCAGTGGCACCGTATCAGGTGATAAGAACCAAACATAAAGATAAGTGATAAAGTATTTCACTTACATTGTTATTTGATCTTCATAGTAGGTAATTTATTGTTTTTGCTTTGGTTTTTCAGTACTGGGGATTGAACCCAGAGCCTTTACACTGAGCTACACCCCCAGTTTATTTTTTTTATTTTATTTATGTATTTATTTTGTATTTTAGGGAAGGGTCTACACGGTGTTCAGGGTCTCACTACTAGATTGGACTCATAGTGATCCGCCTGTTTACAGCCTCCCAAAAGCTGGGATTATAGGCACGCACCACCATGCCCAGTCTCAACTGGCATCTCAGCATGCCCCAGGGGCAGGGCTGGCACAGCAGGCTGGGGGATGGAACCCTGGCTGGCCTCTGTGCCTTTTGCAAGCACTTTAATCCACTGAGCTATTTGGCCAACCCTTCCCAGTTTATTTTTTGAGACAGGGTCTCACTAAGTTGCCCAGGCTGGGCTTGAGCCCATTATCCTACCTCAGCTTCCCACAGTGATGGAATCACCTGCCTGTGCTACTAGGCCCAGTTTGAAATAAGTATTTTTAAAATTCCATGTCAGAGATGAGAAAAACCAAGACAGAGAGAGGTTAATATGCCAAGTTCAAGTTGGCCTGACCCAAATTCCACGCTCCACGCTCTCTTGACTCATCCTCTTCTAAGAAGCATGAAGGCCCTCTTCCTCCCTGTGTTAAACATCAAGAAGAGTGGGATAAGACCCTTTGCAAAAGTTTTATTTCTACCTAAGATAATTTGTTCTTTTACCCCCAAAGCTAAAGGCTGTTCCTACTGTAACTCCTTTATCCACCTTTCTCCTCATTTTGCCTTTATGTCCTGGTTCCTAAAGATAAGAGCACACAAAAGTACTTTCTGGGAGCACCAGGTTGCCTGGGAGGACCTCCGTCTGAGAGAGGAGACTGCTTCCCTGTCTCAGCTGGGACAGACATTCCAGAACATGGCCTTCTGCAACCTCCCCCTCCTCGAGGAAGCCTTCCTGGCCTAGCTGTATTTCATGAGCCGAGTCACTCAGGCTTTATGTATTCTGTTTGTTCTACACTGACCTGAATTCAGGAGGAATGCCCTGTGGGCATCTTGCATCTGCTTCCTCAACATGTCTGCATCTAGCCCATTTGCTGGAAGCCCACAAGGGAGCTGTGTGTGAGGAACAGCTGGTCCCAAGGCCTCCTGTTCAGGCAGGGCCCCTCCCTGGCGGCTGCAGGGGAAGATGTGCTTCCCGCTGAGTCCTCGCAGCCCCAACCCCTTCATCTCAGTAAAGAAGCGCGCCAGCTGCCTCTACTTCTCTAACCACCCTCCATCCCTGAAAGCTGACCCCCTCCCTTCCAGGCAGGACGCATGGCCACTCTCTAGCCATCAACTTCATTGAACCAGGACCCCTGAACTTCCAGCCTCCTCCCAGTGCTCACTTGCTATGACACAATCTTTGTTTCCCCAAGACACTGAGAGATTCTGCTACTTTGGCTTTTAGGAAGACTCTTATCTATATTTTGTGGGCCAAGGACAGGACCAGGATGAGGAGGAGAGCAGAGAACACCCTGGACACAGATCATTTCACAATCTGTTAGTGTTTCCTTCTGCACGCTGAGGAGTCTTATCTCCACAGTCTGCAGGATGTTTGCTTCTTGAAGGGAACTGGGTGAAATAAATGATGCAGAATTTGAACAGTACTGCAGGAGGCCATTCCTGGGCACAGAACACCCAGGGTACCGTGCTCCCAGGAGGCACAGAAATCCTGCCTGGGATCAACCATCTTCAGTACAAAAGCTTCCACAATCCCAGTTCATGAAATAAACCAATTGCATGCCTTTCCCCCTCCATTGCAGGCCTGAGTATACACAAGCCCATGCCACCCTATCCCAGCCACAGCCAAGCTTCGTCTAATTCAATCCCTGCAGTCTGCTTCCACTTGAGATACAAAGGCACTGCGATCTGCTCCTGCTACCTAAGCCTTGAGCTTGAGGTGGCAGAGCATAAGACTCAGACACCTCTGCCGTCTCCTTTCGGCGCAAGCTGGCACTAGGGAGGGGGTGGAAACACAGGGAGGGGTTTGTGGCTCTACCATCTGAGTGTCATTCTGGGCCCCTGGCCAGGCCTTTGGCTTCCTCTCCAAGAGTCAAAGGCTGGAACTGCTCAGACAAAAGGCCAAATGAAAGCTGATGGGGAGCAGGGTGACTTTAGCCTCTCCCCTTCTTCTCCTAGGGACTGGGGGCTCATGGCCTTGGCAGAGAAAGTACAAATCAAGATCTGGAGCTCAGCTCAGTGAAGATTCCTATTTGCCTTTTTTTTATCTTCCTGGCATCCACAGACTGTCTTCTTCCCCTCACCACCTCCCACCTAGGTTGCTGTATGACATGCAAATCAGTAGGATTTTAAAATTCAGGCCCATGCCAGGAACACCCACAAGCCCTACATTTAGGCAGATCCTGATGTGGGTGGTGGAGCCCCCCCTCCCCCCGAGCACAGAGAAGAGGATTCTATTAGTTTCTTGATGCAGCATGGGTTTTGGACCTCATGCATGGTGATGATCTTGTCTTCCTTTCTGGTACTGGACACGAAATGGGAAAAATGAAGTTGTGCACGAGTGGGCTGTGGCCACCATCCTGGCATGAGAAGCAAGTTGAAACTAGTACAGGAGGGGCACGATACAGGTTAAGAAGAGCAGCAAAAGACACTCTGGCTCTCACCAAAGAAATACTTCTGTGGACCAGTAATTTTCACAACTGTCAACTCAGAAAGGGCTTCAGGGAAAAGGACGAAAGAAATGATCATTAACCTGAGAAGGCAGACAGGAAGGGTGCCAGGGTGACTCTGTCAGGAAGTATCAATGAGAACACCTGCCACTTCAAGCTCCCTCCTCACTCCTGCTCCAAAGCTGGGCTAACACCATGCCAAGTTCCCTCCCAAGCAGGAAGAGTAGAGCCTTCGCAGGCAGAAGTGGAAAGCTGTCCTGGAATCTGAACAGCCATGAGCTGGCACTTTCTGGACACTGGGCTGTGCTGTGCACCCTCATGCCCTGGCTATGAAAATAAAGGACAGGACCAAAGTGAGACCAAAGAGACAATCCGAGAGAAACTCAGAGACGCAGAGATAGATAGATACTCGAGAAAGAGCCTGTTGAAGAAGAGAAGGGCAGAGGACAGAGGGCGTGCGTAGGTATCCTATTCGTCAATTCTGGTGGCTCAAGAAGTAAAAGGCATGGGGCCAGAGAAATAGCTCAGTAAAACAAGCCTTCCAAGAACAACAGCCTGAGTTCAATCCCCGGTTCCGCAAAAAAAAAAAAAAAAAAAAAAAAGAAAGAAAGAAAGAAAGAAAGAAACGTAAAAGAACGGGTAAGGAGGCAGGCAGGTGTTGCACCAAGTCAGTGACAATCAGCCTGGGCCTCCCTAACTGGCTTTCCAGCCGCCTGCTCCCGTGCCCTGTTTGGGGATTTGGTCCCACCCCAGACCAAGCTACTTCTCCTGGCCCTTGCACCCCGGGCTTCGGCACGTTACCCACACTCTCTCCGAGCCCAGACCTGACATCTGGCTGGGACTCCACAACTCCCTCTCGGCTCGAGATCAGCCAGGCGGCGCCCCTCCTCCCGCAGGGCCCTCCCCCGTCATTACAGCTGCCAGCCCCCTCCCTGCTGGCAGGCAAGCCCAGGCAGACAGCCGGCCCAGCCTGCCCCCGCAGCCGCGCCAGCTCTGCCAAGCCCAGCAGAGCTGGGGCCCGGGGCGGTGCCAGCTCCCCTGGAGCGAGCGGTCCCAGGTGACCTCCGCCCAGGGCAGGGATAAGGCCTGCGCTCCGGGACACGAGTGCGGCCCCAGCACCTGCGGCGTCCGGCTGCTCTGGCCTGCTGCTTCCGCGCTCGGCCGCTGTGCTGATGGTCTCCGGGTGAGCCCTCTGCCCCTCTTTCTCTAGATCACATGTCAGCCTGGTTGGCCGCTCTCTGCCGCTGTCACTTTTTCTGATCTCATCACAACTGTCTACCCGAAGTTTCCTCGTGGCCCTTTCCCGGGGGACAGACCCTCTGTCTGCCAGCTCTCGTCCTCCCCTGTCCGCTCCTGTCTTCCTCACTCTGTCCGGGTCCTGGGGCCAGAGCTGGGGACAGTCGGGGCGGAGCAGCCCTCCCCGCCCGCGCCGTCGGCTCCGCTCTTACCAGCTCCTGTTTTAGGCGACGCAAGTAGCAGTCCATTTCCCTGTTCTCTTCTCTCACGCGCCCATTGGCCGGGCGCGGCTCCACTAGCGACCCTCGAGCGGGGACGCGGAGCCCTGCTTTGCCCGCACGTGCGCCCCGCGGCCAGGCAGCGCTCAGTTGAGCTTCTGTTTTTGCTCCTAGATTCCGACTCAGAGCTGCGTCCCCGCGGCTCTCGGCGCGCGCTCGATGCCAGGGGCGGAGGGAAAAGTGAGGCAGCCAATCAGAACTCGGGGGGGAATGTCCTCAGCCTATGAGGAAAGCGGGCGGGGGCCGCGGGGCGGGGGGGCCGGAGGTGGGCCGTGCTGTCGGGGCTGCGGGGGTCGCCGGGGTCCCTGCGGGCGCAGCTGGGACGTCTTGCGCCCAGACCGTGCGGACGCCCCTGCAAAGCTCCCCTGGCTGTGTACAGGGTCGGCTCGGCCTCACGGCTGGGGACCCCACTGCGCGCCGAAGCCCCGAGCCCACTCACCTCTCCTACCCGCGTCGAGAAGCTCTATCCCAGGCGCCCAGTGCAGCCCCTCGTCCCTAGAGGACACCCGGCTAGGGCTGCGCCCGCCTCTCCTGACTTGTGCTCCTCCCTACCCATCCTCGGGCAGAGTTCAGAAAACACGCGGGGTGGCAAGCTTGGCACTAAGCGACCCCCGCGGTGCGCGGCGTCGCCGCGAGCATGTAAGTCCGCAGACGCAGGGTAAGACAGCGGGAGCTCTGCCCTCAGGGATTTACAAAGGCGGAGGGGAGAGGAGACAGGTGAAAGCAAGCGCGGTAATCTCAGAACGTGGTTTAAGGACAACGCACAACGGGGCGACGCCTGGGGCTGTGCGCAGCAGTGCCCGCGGGAGCGGAGGAGCAAGCCTCGCTCGCTCGCCCCGAACTCGCCTGTGCCGGTCTTTGTGAGGTCGGGAAGGGAGCGGGACTCGAAGGAGCTCGGAGGCCCCGCAACCCAGCCTCGGCGCACTGCGCTCAGGCTGCCCCTCCTCCCCCGAGCCACTGGGCAGGGCCCGGGAGTAATTAGGGAAATTAGCGACGTGTTGTTTCAAGGTAATTAACGGGAAACAACGTTTGCCCCAGGCCGATTTTGGGGCTCTACTGGGATACAACTGTAAGGGCGCAAGCATAGGTGCAAATTGAGCTGCATCAAGCAAGAGCATCAATTTCTGCTAACAGTAAAAAGACGAAAGAAAAGGAGAGGAGGGAAAAGGGAGGGGAAAGGGACGAGGAAGAGGAGGACCCGTCTAAGCCTGCATCTCCGTGGTTCTTTCCCTGCCAAGTGCCCGCGTTCACCCTGCTGGGTTCTTTCGGTGGCGCCTGCGGAAATCTCGAGGGCGGCCCACTGTGCTCACTGGCGAGATCCTAGACTGCATCTCCTTTTCTCTCTGGGCCTCCACTCCGCAGCTCCCAGCGTCATCCGCCCTCCAAGAGGCAGCTTTCTGGGAGACCCTGCTTAGTAGAACCGGCGTGTCGGTGTGCGCAGTAGCAGTTTCCGGCCTAGTGGAACAAGATCTGGGTTGAGTATTGTGGGATTGGGGTGGAAAGTAGGAGATGGCGTTGACTAACGTCTATGGAGACTCCGCTGCTTGGAGAGAAACCCCACGCAAATGTTCTGTAGCCCGGGGAGCCTTGCTTCCACCTTTTAGATCTCCAGCCTGCAGCAAAGGGGCCCGTGTAAGAGGGCCAAGTAAACACTGGTGGATCTGTGGCTAAGTCTTCCCTGGAGTCACACTGATGCTCCGGGGTTTTCCCTCCCTGAGACCTTAGGGCTGGAATTCTCTCAGAAGACTCCTCTTGGAGCCCGGCTGCGGTTGAAACTCGAAGAGAAGCAGGCTGTTTTCCTGGCAGGAACCTAGGGCTGGGTAGTTAGGAATTTGTACTGGTACTGTTTACAGATAGTACCTTTCACACACATTTTCCTTTCACTTGGCCTCAGTTTCCCTCCCTTATGGTTTAAATCTGTGTGAGCCTAACTCTACAAAATTCCCTTCTGACAAGCATCTGTGAGGCAGTCAAGACAAGGACATTTGCCCCATATTACAGAGGAAGCACGAGTAGTTAGCAAGGGCAACTTACAGGCCAGCCACTTTTAAGGTAAAAGAGATTGGCAAGAAGCAAATGACAACCTAATCTCAATGGAGAGCTCAAAAATAAAACGGCCCTAGGCAAGTCCGAAGTGCATACATTAACTATTGTATGGTTCCCACAGGGCTTGCACAGACAAACTCTGAAGTCCTTTCACGGTGCTAAGCCACTTCAACTGATGAGAAGGCTAGCGTCACCCAGCGGGTCTCTCATGGTCACCTTTTTCTGAAGACATAGCTTTTTCTTGAGGCAGAGTAGGAGGCAGGAGTAGGCAAAAGAACTACCTTTTGCTATTTCTTTTTTCTTTTTTTAAAAAAGGGTTTAAATGACAAAGAATAAAGCCTGTTACCATGGTTATATAAACACTGATAAATATTCCTGGGCTGAGGATCGGGGTTGGGGGGATATGATTCATTTTCTCTGAAGAAGAATCAGATGGCTCAGCCTCCACCCTCCTGCCATCCCAAAAACTCAGTCTGGATAAAGAATAAAATTATTTCACTTAAAGGTGAGGCACTGTGGCACATGCCTGTAATTACAGCACTTGGGAGGCTGAGGCAGGAGTATTACTATAAGCTCAAAGCCAATCCGAACTACATAGTTCAAGGCCAGCCTAAAATATGCAGCAAAACCTTGTCTTCCCCCACCCCCCCAAAAAAAAAAAATAAAAGAAAGAAAGAAAAAGAGATCAGAGGTATTGACATTGGTTGTGGGCATGCTTCCTCAAAGTCATCCAAAACTGGAATGGACCTTTCAGAAGCACCTGCGTATTTGTCCCCAGCAAGCAAGGATGAGTAGAGAGTGGACACTTTTCACAAGGAGGTGGGGCACTCCTGGAACTAAGTCCACAGGTGTCACATAGGTAGGGTTTGCAGCCAGCAGAGTCAGGGAGTGCGGCCCCCTTTGTATCTCTGCAAGCACCTGAAGGTCTTTGGCACCTGTGATGAGCTGGGGGAGAGTGGCAGAGCCAGCTGTGTTCCAGCAGAGCTTGGATCCTGAGTGAAACAATGACGCCTGCCATTCTCCTCACTTTAGATGCCATGACTTCCACCTGAAGATCCCCACCCACCCAGTCTTGGCCTGCTCTCAAAGACCCGCCCCTGAGTGAGGTGGTATCCATCTTCTCATCTCCATTGGCAACAGAAGAGCTGGGCATTCATTCTGATGTGAGGCAAGAGATAGGTGGCCACGCAGCACCTGGAAAGCACAGCAGCAGGGCATCCTCCCTAGGGGGAGCGTCACATCCCCACTGCCCTCCTTCCTTACCCCTGTAGCTGCCAAGAGCCATTGTTCCTCATCTCCCTTCCCTCCCCCTAGAGTCCCCAAGCATCACCGCAAAGGTTGACCCTGAAGATAAACACGTGCTGTTGGAATGTATTCAGATATCACTGCAGAGCGGCTGCTTTCCAGGCAGAGGACTTGCCTGGCAGGCTGGCCCAGAGGTGCTGAGCAGGGGCTGTGTACGTGCCTGTGTGTGAATGCACGGAATGGTGGGCGAGCAACTGAACTGAGGCCTCGCTCTTCTTGGAAGGTCTTGGGTTATAGCACATCTCCTTTGTCCATTGCAGGCAGAAGACAAGGGTTCTCCGCTCTGTACAATCTACAGATCAGGCGAGGTAGCAGGGACGGTGAAATGGCCTCTGTGTTGTTAAAGCCTCTCTGTTCCAAAAGAATGGTTCAGTTGGGTTTTAATAATAATAATAATAATAATAATAATAATAATAATAAACTTATAGGGCTGGGATATAGCTCAGTGGCATAATAATGAAAAACCTTATAACTGGCTAGAAAAATCAAAGGCTCCAGAGATAAAGCTCCATAAGCTTTGGATGTCTTGAAACATGGCATTATTCTCCTTATTCATATACAGAGGAGCTGAGGTCCAAAGAGGATGGCCTGTTGTGCCAGGGGCAGGGGGCAGTATAGTGTCACATTTTCCAGGATTGTGCTCTTTGTACTACTTCGTAGCAATGGAAGGGAAGTGGCCTTGAGGTAGAACCACAATACAATGGCACTAGCCATTAAGGGCACGTTTTGTAGCTCTACATCCGGGCACTTGCCATCACTTCCGCCCTTAGTGCTGCCGTACTCGGTTGCTCTGACAGCCCTTCTCCCCAGAGTCACCAGGCTTCAAGGTCACCCCAACAGCTTTGAGGGTGCTAACAGTTTTTGGAGGGGGACAGAGGAAGGTATTGGAGAAAAAGGGTCATTTCTAAGCAAACTTCATGAGTGGATGGTTCCTAAACTCTCTCACCTGGACAAGAATTTTAAGTGCAAAATTAGATTGATCTAATTGAGCACTGCATTTATGGACTGGTATTATTTGTAATTGTAGGTTTGATATTTACAGGCCCAAGCAATACCTTTATTGCTACTTGGGGAGAAAATATTTCCATTTTGCAAATATTTGTTGGAAATGCACTTACCAGAATCCCTGAAGAATAGCTAAGGGAGATACAGTCCTTATGCCAACTAATCCTGATAGATGCAAATTGCACCAAAATGAAAATGGCTTGCTTCCAGGACCTTCCTGGGGTATTCTGCAATGTTCAAGTCTTGAGAGGCCTGGAACTGGCTTCCCTATTACCATGGGCTATAACTCAGAGCAAAGCTCACCTTATTGCTACTACTTGGCCCTTTCTGCCAGGTGTAAGTGAGGACTAGGGTCTGACAGCCTGCCAGGGTGAGACTTGTTAGCAAGAGGGAAAGAAAGGCTATCTGCTTCTCCTCCTGACACTAAGTGGGGAGGAGAAAAGGAGGTCACGTCTCAGGTGTGGCTTGCCATGTATTTGCTTCCACTAGGCTGGCAGAAGCCTCCTCCCATGTGCTGTAGATGTCAGGGAGCTGTCCTAGCACCACCCAGACACCAAACAGGATGGATGCACTGGAGATTTTAGCCTGTGGATTCTGAAAGGAGGACAATGTGTAGAAAGACAAGACTCTTGCTTTGGGACTTAGGCTGGGTGGGGCTGAGGTTGGCAGTTTCTACCATCAGTGAAGAGAAAGAAAGGAAAGACAGTGAGGCCAACAGACAGCATCAGTACTAACAAATAATGATGCATATTGAAGAATAGGAACTGAA